GTGCCCACAGACGGAGGGGAGCGCTCACCTTGCTGTCGAGCTGCTCGCCGCGCTTCAGCAGGAAGTTGGCGATGGTGTCGAGCAGGCGCGGCTCACGCAGCCGGTGCCGTGCCACGTACTTGGCGATGAGGGCCATGGTGTAGGGGGTCAGGTTCTCCGCCTTCCGGGGCAGCCACTCTGCGAGCCAACACAGCGGGGAGGCCGTCACAGGGCCAGCTCTGTCCCCAGCCCAGGTCCTCTGCAGCCACCACAACCTGGGCAGCTGGGAGCACAGGACCGGACAGGAGGGCCAGTCTCAAAAACCTCAAAAGCCAGGCAGCTCCTAAAACCCTCAGGTATGTGTCAGGTGAGAGGCTGACACAGATTCCTGTCACACACAGCCAGAAGGCACAGATGAAGCACAGCCGGAATGTGCACAAGTGGGGCCTTCTGCAAAACCCCACCAAAACTCTGCTGTGCCCAGCCTGGAGGCACTGTGGGAAAACAGCCCCTGAAGGAAAGAGGGGTTCCCAGTCCCTCCCAGGCCCTAGAGGAACGGGGGGCTCCCAGCCTGTCAAAGGGCTGGGCTGTCAGTGACAAGGGTGGCCATGACACAGGGCTCCTTCTGCTCCACTTCTGGGGCTCAGCAGGGCCCCAGCTGAGGCTGCACCACCCGAACACGTCTAGGGCCAGGCTGGAGGCTGCCCCCCACCCGGCCAGAGGCCCCCACGTCCCCTGGCTGACCAGAGCCCTGCACCCCCAATGAGGGGGCAGCGCCGGACCCCCCCGGGCGCCCCTCACCTGCCATGCTGCGAATGAAGCGCTCCTGCCGGTTCTCGTAGAAGAGCTGGGAGCTGAAGATGGCCTCCAGGGCCTTGTTGTTGGCCTCCTGGGCACACAGGGCCAGCATCTCGTCCAGCAGCGCCAGCTCGTGCTCCCTCATGGCGCTCACCTGGCCCAGCGTGTGCCGCACCAGGCGCAGGATCTTGCGGTTGTTGATGAGCTGCTGGTCGGAGGCCGCGTGGCCCTGCAGCGCCTGCGCCCGCAGCCGGTAGTAGGAGAGCAGCAGGAACAGGGTCTGGGGGTGCCGCTCCTTCTCCAGGTGCCGCTCCAGGCTGCTGAGGCACGACTCCACCAGTGGGTGCGGGCTGGAGGGGTGCAGCCGCATCACGCTGCTGAACACCATCGACACATCCTTCTGGTTGAAGCGGCCCAGGCGGCTGCGGGACTCGTCCTCCAGCACCCGCACCAGCGGCGACTCCCCGGGCAGCCCTGCGGGGGAACGGGCACGGGCACGGCTCAGATCTGGGCATGGGATGGCATGGATCAGATCCTGGCATGGGTCAGACCCCAGCACGGGATGGCATGGATCAGATCCGGGCATGGGTCAGATCTGGGCATGGCTCAGATCAGGGCACAGCTCGGATCCCAGCATGGCTCAGATCAGGGCACGGGATGGCATGGATCAGATCCTGGCACGGCTCAGAGCAGGGCACGGCATGGCATGGATCAGATCCTGGCACGGGTCAGACCCCAGCACGGCTCAGATCAGGGCACGGCTCGGATCCCGGCACGGCTCAGATCTGGGTATGGGTCAGATCCCGGCACGGCTCGGATCCCGGCACGGCTCACACCTGGGCACAGCTCGGATCCTGGCACGGCTCAGCCCCACGGCACAAGGGCCTCACAGCTCAGGCAGGAGGCCACTGCCACGACTGGACGGATGTGCTGGGTCAGTGCCCAAACCGAGCAGGGGAAGGGAGGGGAAGGCAAAGCACGGGCACAACATCAGAGCATCCGCACCACGGCAAACACTGCGGGGAGCTGTGGGTCATTCCCACCCGTCCCACTGCAATGGGAGCACTGCAGCTCACCTGCAGTGGCAAGGTTCATTTCCGAAGTCTCAGACATCTCAAAGACAAGGAATTCATAGAATCCCAAAATCTCAGGCTGTTTTGGTTTGGAAGGAACCTTAAATCCCACTCAGTTCCACACCTCTGCCATGGGCAGGGACACTTCCACTAGACCAGGTTGCTCCAACCTGGAGCACTGGAGCACTTCCAGGGGCTCTGGGCACTCAAAAAACTCACATCAAAAAGTTCATTAAAAAAAGTTGTGGTTGGAAAACAACTGTGCCATCCCATGTGACAAAACTAAACCCTGTTTGTTCCAGCAGAGACTAATCCTTTGGCTTTTTTGACCTTCTCCTGTTTCCCAGCTCAGCTTTGGCTTGTGCTAAAGACCTGGCTCCCAGGGAAACACTTCCCTGTAGCTCAGGCCGTGTTATCCAGGCCTGGGCACAGGCTCAGTGCCTCGGCTGTCAGGAGGGATCTCCTCAGCAGAGGCAAGGAGCACTGGGGGGGCCTGGAGTTCCCCATCACGGCAGGATTTGGGCGGGCTCGGGCCGCAGGGCAGCGCAGGGCCAGTCACTGCGGGTTATTGTTAATCAGAACTCAGCTGGGGGAACGAGCGGAATTGGTCTGAGCAGCCGCTTTGTTCCACGAAAAGGCCTCAAAGGAGAGCTGGAGTTTGCGTTAATGAGGGACAAGGGGGCAGAGCAAGGTGGGGGGCCCAGCACGGGGAGCCTGGCGAGGGCAGGCAGCCCCGCTCAGCGTCAACAAACAGCCGGCGCCGCCGCCCGGGACCGCGGGCAGGGCTCGGGTTACTGCCTCAAGCACCGGCCCCGGCCCAGGGCTGCGGGGAACGGGAACGGGATGGGGGAGCCAGGCAAGGAGGGCAGGCACCCGCCAGATCGCCGAATCCTGGAATTGTTTGGGTTGGAAGGGACCTTAGGGATCATCCAGTTACAACCTCCTGCCGTGACCAGGGACACCTTCCACCAGACCAGGCTGCTCCAAGCCCCTGGCCTTGAACACCTCTAGGGATGGGGCAGCAACAGCTCCTCTGAGCAACTCGTGCCAGGGCCTCCCCACCCTCGCAGGGAAGAATTCCTACCCAATATCCCATCCAACCCTGCCCTCTGGCTGTGGGAAACCATTCCCCCTCGTCCTGCCTCTCCAGGCCCTTGTCCCAAGTCCCTCTCCAGCTCTCAGAGCATCTCTGTGGCCTCCTCTGGGCTCGCTTCATGGCTGCCTGCTGGTGGGTTTCAGAGCAGGAAGCAGCACTGCAGGTAGGGCCTCACCTGAGTGGGACAGAGGGGAAGATTCCCCCTCCTGCCCTGCTGTCCCCTCCTCTTTGGATGTGGATCCCACCCCCTTGCTTGCAGCAGAACTTGCAGGGTCACCCTGGCCCAGAGACGGAGGAGCCTCTGGGATGCAGCCTTCCCTGGGACACAGCCTCCCCAGCTCAGCAGCACGCCAAGGAAGCTGCACAGGAACCCAAATACCTCAAACCCTCTCTCGCACACAGCAACACCTGGTGCTATGGGGCCTGTGCCCTCCGAGAGTGCAGCCAAACCCATGGTGTCCCCCATTGGTGCTCGGGTGGTTCCTGGTTTTCAGGGCCTGGAACTCAAGCTGGAGCTAGACACGGCCCAGGAGACGCTGACACACGCGCCGCCAAGCAGAGCTGCCCAGCACCAGCCTCCTGGCCAGGCAGGGACACTCAGTCCTCCTGCCCTGGAGGAGCAGAGCATCGCTGCCGCGCTGAGCCCCCTGCCCAGAGCCCCAAGGGTCACAGCCCCGCGTGCCCCGGACCCAGCGGTGCCCAGGGCCCGGGCTGGCCCCGCGGCAGTGCCGCGCTCCCCACCCTGCGTGCGCCACCCCGGGAGCTCACCCAGCGCGGCCGCCGCGTACAGGCAGTTGACGATGCTGAAGTTGTCGAACTTGGCGCAGCCGCTGACGATGGCCTGGCACAGCACGTGGAACTCGGGCTGCTCCAGCACCTGCCCCGCGGGCCCGCGCCCGTCCCCGGCCCCCGTGGGCGGCCCCGGCTGCTGCTGCAGGAGCTGCCCCAGCTTGTGCAGCGCTATGGGGTAGTGGCTGGCCGACACCTTGCCCGGGTTCTGCGTGACCCAGCGCAGCACCTCGCCCACGCTGCGCGAGCGCTCGATCAGCCGCTTCATGGTGAAGAAGGTGTCGTAGCTCATCTTCTCGTGGATGAAGTTCCAGCTCTTCCTCTTGCCGTGGACCCGGCCTCGGCCGCCGTCCGGGTGCACGGCGGGCAGCAGCCCATGGCCGTAGGGGTCCAGGGGCAGCAGCAGCCGCGGCCTGGCCTTGCCGGCGCAGCAGCAGGCGGGGAACATCGCGGCACCGCGGCGCTCACGGGCAGCCGGGCCCCGCGGGCCCGCCCGGGTCAGAGCGCGGAGCCATGGGCACAGCAGCGGGCACAGCATGGCGGGGGCGGCGCGGCGCGGGGGGCTCCGCGGCTCCGGAGGACCCTGCGGGACAGAGCGGCGGGGCCGTGACGGGGAGACCGGCGGGACGGCCGGGCCGGCGGGGGGCACGGGCGGCCGCGGGCACTCCCCCCACCCACCCACCGGGATCCCCGCCCCCGCGACTCCCCGGCACCGGGCCCGCCGCCCTGTTTGGGCCCGCATCCCGCCCGGCCCCGCGGTGCCGGGACCTCCCGCCCGCCCGGTGTCCCCCGCCCCTCTCCCGGGCATACCCTGACCTCCACCGGCACCGGGCCCGCCCCGGTCCCCCCGGCGGGACTCCCTGCCACCCCCACCCGGCCCGGCCGTACATGGCGCTGGCGGCCGCTCGCTCCCGCCGCCACCGCCGCCGCTCAGCGCCGCCGGGACACGGACCCGGCCCGGGAGCGCAGCCCCGCCGCCATCTTCCTGCGGCCCCGCCCCACGCGCGGCACTTCCGGGGCGGGGCCGGCGCGCGCTGCATGCAAATCAGCGCCGCGTCCCCGCCAATGAGCGAGAGCTCCGCTGAGCGCGGGGCCGGGCCGCCGGCGCAGGCGCGCTGCGGCCCTGCGGAGCGCGTGGCGGGAGGAGCCGGGCCCCACCCCCCGAAGCCCCGCCCCGATCCCGGAGCCCCGCCCCCAGCCCGGTCACACCGGGCGCCGCCACCCCTCCGACCCGCGGCGCAGCACAGCCGGGACGCCACGGCCGCTCACAGTCTGTCCGCTTTAATCGGAACGGCGGTGGGGGGTGGCACCCCCAACACAGCCTCGGGACCCCGGCACAGTGGGGAGTGCAGCCACCCCCGGCACCGGGGCCGCCGGGGGGCACTGAGCTCCTCCGGCACAGGGACCTCAGGAGCGCCTCCCGCCGGCACCAGGACCCTCGGCACGCCAGGGCTCATGTCCCTCCCCAGGCACCGGGACCCGGGAGCAGCCCCCGGGAGGGGCGAGGCCGCATTCCCACGAGGAGAAGCTCCGCGGGCACGGACACCGGCTCGGGCAGGACCGCACCCGAGGAGCTTCTGCACGCGGAGCGGCTGGGGGGATGCTCCATGCAGGGACAGGGGGCAGCGGGGCCCCCCCGAGGTAGCTGAGCCCCCACTCCCGCCACAGCCCCTGTGTGCAGACAGGGCGTGGGCGGGCACCTGGGCCCGCGGGGGACACAGTCCGAGGCCAGCCCCCCTTCAGGGGCAGGGCAGGCCCCACGTGCCCCCGATATGCTGTGGGCCGAATGCAGAGCCCTCCACGTCCCAGGCAGGCTGGGCAGGCCCTGAGGGTCCCGCGTGTCCTCGGTGCGGGTGCGGCCGCGCTATCTGCGGTACATGGCGAAGGCCACGAAGGTGACGAGCAGGGTGAGGCCGGCCAGGCAGGTGGTGGCGGTAGCGGTGAAGACGTGCCGGTGCTGCAGCTGCAGGTACCAGAGCAGGGCCAGCAGCAGCACGAAGAGCGGCAGCGCCAGGCTGCCCACGCCCAGCGCGGCGGGCGCGGGGCTGCGGGGGCCGGGGCTGCCGGGGGCCGTGGCGGCCGCGCTGGGCGGCGACAGGTGGCAGTGCAGGACGCTCAGGTGGCCCAGGTGCAGCCCCGCCAGGCTCTGGGTGTCGTCACGCAGCAGCTGTCCCTGGTAGATCAAGCGCACCTGCTGCTCCTGCCCCGGGAAGTAGGTCCTGCAGGAGACAGGGACAGCGGTCACACCGCTGACGGGACAGGCCCTGTGACCCACCTCCTGTGCCCACCCCGAGCTCTCACCCACCCGCACAGCTGAGCCTGTGTGTCCCCATCAGCCGCCCGGAGTGTCACCTGCCAGCTCAGTTTCTTCATCCACATCCTATGGGTGTGCCCACCCAGACCCCCACCGTGCCTTGCACACCTGACCCCACACACCTGTGCCTGTCACCTGCCGGGACAGTCCCCTCTGCCAACGCACCCACCGTGACCCTCCCGCCCTGCCCTGCCCACACACCCGAGCGTGCCTTTGCCCATCAGCGACCCCAGGTGTCCCCTGCGAGCCTGGGCTGTCCCGCGGCCCCGCCAGGGACGGCCACGGCTACCCGGGCACAGGGACCCCGGCACAGCCACCCGGGCACGGGCCGCTCGTCCCGGGACAGCGCTGTCCCCTGCCGGGTGCTGCGGGGAGGGGCCCGGGACCCTGCCCGCACGCCCTCACCTCTTGAGCGCACCGACGGTGTCCCCGGGGCGCACCCGCGCCAGGCGCTCCGTGTCGTTCAGGAACTTGAGCCGCAGCACCAGCGTGGGCTCGGCGGGGCCCTCGGCGGTGGCCGCGGGAGGGCTCCGGTGCCGCAGCCCCTCCGCCTCATCGGAGGCCGCCGCTCCCTCGGCCGGGGCCGGGGGAGGGGTCGCGGCCGGGTTGGGGGTCGAGGTCTTGCGCTCGGCGGGGGCCGTGCTCGGGGCCGCCTCAGCCGGCGGCGCCGCGGGCTCGGGGGCGCGCGTGGAGGCCCAGGCGAGCCCCAGCACGGCGGCCGCCAGCAGCAGCGCGAACAGCACCGTCACCTCATCGCCGACGCCCTCGATGAGCGCCATGGCGGCGGCAGGATCGGGAGCGCACCGGGAGAGGGCAGCGGGCGGGCGCGGCCTCAGCCCGCGGGGCCGCGGGGAACCGGGGCCACGGCCGCACCGGGCCGAGCTCGGGCCGCCATCGCGCCGCTTCCGGCCGGGCGCGGGGGGCCATGGGACACGTAGTCCTGGCTGTAGGCGCCATGACAGGGCGCGGCCGCCGCGCGGGGCACGCCGGGAGCTGTAGTCCCGGCCCGGTGGAGGCGCGGCCAGGGCAATCCCAGTTATTCCCAGTGTGATCCCAGCTCCTCCTGGACACTCCCGGTACTACTCCAGTAACCGCAGTGTGTTTCCACACAGTCCCAGTGGCGTCAGTTCTCCCCAGCATGGGCCCAGGTGCTCCAAATATGATCTCCGTTGCTGCCAGTATGGTTTCAGTTGCTCCTAGCGTAATTCTAATTTACCCAGTTAACCCCAGTATGATGCCATTTGTCCCCAGTGTAGTTCCAGTTGCTACCAGTCACCCCCAGTATGGCTCCAGTCACTCCCAGGTTTAAATTCCTGTGGCTGTGTCGCTTGGGAACATGGGCAGTGGTGGCCATGGCCGTGCTGAGGGTGGTGGGCTAAGGTATCTCTGAGAGTTTCCTGCCCTCAGTGATTCTGGAGCTGTGAATCCCCAGGAGTGCCCAAAGCCACCTGCAGACTCTGATTAAAATATTTTATATTAGGTGAAAAATCCTTAATTTTAGGTTAAAAATTGTTAATTTTATGTGAAAATGTCTTAATTTTAGGCTAGAAATTGATCATTTTAAGGTAAAGATTCTTAATTTTAAGTGAAAAGTTCTTAGTTTTAAGTCAAAAATTCTTACTTTTAGGTGAAGAGGTCCAACCATGGAAACACAGCAACAGGGATGGGGGAGATGGGGACAAACTGACTCTCCCATAAAGTGCAATTGAGGGTGGAGGAGAAATTCTGGGCAACAATGTCCCCTGTCCCCAGGGGTGGTGACTGGGGGTGACTGGTAGCAACCTCCTCAGGTCCCTCGCTGCTGTGGCACTGACATTTCCTGGGATGAGATGAAGAGGATTTTCTCCTCTATATTATTTTTCCTGGGAAGAAAATCAGGATGAAATCAGGACAAAGGCAGGAGCATCAGCGAGCCAGGGCAGCCCCTTCCTGCTGAGGGTACCTGGGGCTGGGGCCCTCCCAGGAGGGAATCCCTGATTTCTGTGCAGGGATTCTGGGAGGGAGCTGCAGGTGCGGGATCCCCGCTCCAGGTGAGGCAGGGATGCTAGGGGGAGCTGCAGGTGAGAGATCCCGGCTCCAGGTGAGGGATCCCTGCTCCAGGTGAGGCAGGGATTCTGGGAGGGAGCTGCAGGTGAGGGATCCCCGCCCCAGGTGAAGGATCTTCGCCCCAGGTGAGGGATCCCGGCTCCAGGTGAGGGATCCCGGCTCCAGGTGAGGCAGGGATCCCCGCCCCAGGTGAGGGATCCCCACTCCAGGTGAAGGATCCCCGCCCCAGGTGAGGGATCCCCGCTCCAGGTGAAGGATCCCCGCCCCAGGTGAAGGATCCCCCCCCCCCCAGGTGAGGGATCCCCGCTCCAGGTGAGGGATCCCCGCTCCAGGTGAGGGATCTCTGCCCCAGGTGAAGGATCCCCGCCCCCCAGGTGAGGGATCTCCGCCCCAGGTGAGGGATCCCCGCCCCCCAGGTGAGGGATCTCTGCCCCAGGTGAAGGATCCCCGCCCCAGGTGAGGGATCCCCGCCCCAGGTGAGGGATCTCTGCCCCAGGTGAAGGATCCCCGCTCCAGGTGAAGGATCCCCGCCCCAGGTGAGGGATCCCCACCCCAGGTGAGGGATCTCTGCCCCAGGTGAAGGATCCCCGCCCCAGGTGAGGGATCCCCGCCCCAGGTGAAGGATCCCCGCTCCAGGTGAAGGATCCCCGCCCCAGGTGAGGGATCCCCGCCCCAGGTGAGGGATCTCTGCCCCAGGTGAAGGATCCCCGCTCCAGGTGAAGGATCCCCGCCCCAGGTGAGGGATCCCCGCCCCAGGTGAGGGATCTCTGCCCCAGGTGAGGGATCCCCGCTCCAGGTGAAGGATCCCCGCCCCAGGTGAGGGATCCCCGCCCCAGGTGAAGGATCCCCGCTCCAGGTGAAGGATCCCCGCCCCAGGTGAGGGATCCCCGCTCCAGGTGAAGGATCCCCGCCCCAGGTGAAGGATCCCCGCCCCAGGTGAGGGATCCCCGCCCCAGGTGAAGGATCCCCGCCCCAGGTGAGGGATCCCCGCCCCAGGTGAGGCAGAGCCGTGCGAGCCTCGGCTCCCGAGGAGCCCAGTGCACCCCGGGCTGTCAGAGCAGCGGATGTGACACAGCAGCAGATTTAAAGCACGGCTGATCCCTGCAGGCACAGAACGGGATTTTTCCCTTCCCGACGCTGGAATGAGCCCGGATCCGCCGCTGCAGGGGCTGTGTCTGCTCAGATTTGAGCGTTTATCCCGCGGTTCATCCCCTCCCTGATAAATCCCCTGTCTGCTTGTCACCGCGGATTTGTCTGGCTTCAGCTCCCAGAGAGTGAGGCTTTTCCATCCTCCCTGCCCCGATTAAGAAGCTGTTTAATATTTTCCTGAAAGCGCTTCCCCAGTGCCATCCAGCCACCCAGGAAAAGGCAGATTGTGCTCCTTAGCTCAGCCTGGAGCAAAGGAGGCTCAGGGGACCTTGTGGCTCTGCGCAGCTCCTGCCAGGAGGGATAACCAAGGGGAAACCCTCCTGCTCCCAGGGAACGGGGACAGGAGCAGAGGGAACGGCCCCAAGTTGTGCCAGAGGAGGTTTAGGTTGGATATTGGGGAAATATTTTCATGAGAAGGGCTGCCCCATTGGGTTATTGCCAGGGTTCACGGTCCCCTCCTCCTGGTTCCTCTTTACTCGCCATTTCACCTTCCCTCTGTGCTTCTCCCTGTTTGTCCCCCATGACTGGGCCGGGCCCTCCTGTCCCACAGGCCTTGCTGGGATTGTTGTTCAGGCCCCCACAGAGCCCAGGGGGTTTAATGCCCCTTGTTCCACTTCCAGCCTCTTTTCCCAGAGCCCACACCATCGGGCAGCCCAGCTGCTCGGGGCTGTGGCCAGAGAGGGGCACAGAGGGATCCTGCCCGGTGGGGCACTGGGGACACTGTGACACCACCCAGACGTGCATGCCCACCCTGTGCTGGCCCTGTCTGTGCAGAGGCAGCGCTGGTGGGAGCCACCCACCCATCCCACAAGAGCCCTTCAAGGTGCCTGCAGTGGCACAGCTCCCTGCTGTCCCCAAAATCCACGGGGTGGCATGAGGTGGCTGGTGGCATCACGGTGGGTGACAACAAGGGACACAGCCAGCCGTGGGACACAGCCAGCTGTGGTCCTGCATATACCTGGCAAAAAAATAACAGTAAAGTTAGGACTAAGTCTTTTGTCCTTGGGTGTGTGTAGCAGCCATCTTGACATCTTCAGTGCCATGCTTTTTATAAGCTACAAGAACGTAAAATTTGGTGGGTGATTGGTTGATTATTTATCATCATGGTTTGTATTTTTGTTTGTTTTTTTTTGGGGGGGGGGTTAGTTCTGGGGTTAATTCTATGCTTGTTTGGGGGTGGTTGTGGAGTGACGATCACAGTTGGTTATTGTTTTTGATGCTAGGAAATATAGAGGAAGGCTAATTGAAAGTGTATTGATGACACATGATTTGGATAATGCTGGACACCCCACGAAGCCAGAAGCCGTGCTGTGTGCCTGCCCCAGCGAGGGACGTGACTCTGGGTGGGAGCCTGCCCCTCTCTGCCCCTCTCTGCTCCCCCAGACCCCAGGCAGGGCACAGCAGAGGGTTTCAGTCTGCCCCCTGGCAGCCGCGTGCTGCGGATCTGGGGGGATTAGCGGGGCAGCCTCGGTGCTGCAGAGCGAGGTCAGAGAGCTGCAGCTATTCCGGGAGAGCTGCTGGCTGATCCCTGCCCGGGGAACAGCCCCTGCCGTGGAGGGTGACGTCCAACACCCCCGGTGTCCCCAAAGCAGCGCTGCCTTTAGGAGCAGGAGCCGCAGCTCAGAGGGGGCACAGGGCTGCCCCAGCCTCCCAGAGATGAGATGGATGGAGTTTGCTGCTCCCCTTGGTCTGGGAAGGGCAGCAGGGCCCCCCAGCTGTGTTCTCAGCTCTCCCAACGTTGGTGTCCCCACAGAAAGAAAGCCCCAGTTTTTATTGCAGAAGGGATCAAACTCCTCAGTGTCCCAGGGCCTGAGAAGCCATGAAGGCCTGGGGAACCCCTGGGACCCCCTCTCTGCCTGTTTTGCTCTGACACTGACTGAAGCTCAGCTCTGGGCCCTGGCCTCCCCTCAGCTCTGTTCTGGGGGTGCTGCTCCAGCTCCACATCCTGGGTGGGCACTGGGGTTCAGCTGTGGGGACCCTCCTGCTGTGGTGGGCACTGGGATTAAACTGTGGGGACCCTCCTGCTGTGGTGGGCACTGGGGTTCAGCTCTGGGGACCCTCCTGCTGTGGTGGGCATTGGGATTAAACTGTGGGGACCCTCCTGCTGTGGTGGGCACTGGGGTTCAGCTCTGGGGACCCTCCTGCTGCCCCCACGGGCCCTGGGACTGTCCGGTGTCACGAGAAGGTTTGGGTGGGAAGGGACCCTCAACACCCATCCTGTTCCACCCCACTGCCATGGGCACCACAGGTACCAGGGTGGCTGCTCCAGGGGTGGGAACAGCAGCAGCAAAAGGAGCGGGAGGAAGAGGAGGAGGAGGAGGAGGAGGTGGCAGCTCCTCTTGGCAGCAGCGCCGCAGCGTCAGATGGGAGGGCTGCAGATGGAGCAGAGAAAGTTCAGGATGTGAGGGTGAAACCCCTCCTGAAAAGCAGTTTACATCCTCAAGAGGCCTGTGTCTGCAGGAGGCAGGTGGTGGCCATCCCTGAGGGAACGCTTGCTCCCGAAAGCCTCGGCTTGTCCCCACCCGCTCCTGCCTTTTCAGCATGCTGAGCTTCTCTCCCGGGTTCTCCCATCCCTTTGCTCAGC